ACTAATTTTTTTACATTGATTTTCTGTCTACATATGCTTTGCATCATCCTTTGAGAGTTTCAAATAAAAGCTTATGTTTTTTTACAGACAGACAGCATTGAAAGAAATAAAATCTCCCACAAAAAATCACATAAAATTGAATCACACCAGACACTAATCATGTGACCAAAAATGTAAGGATGTAGAATGATCATCACCTGAGAATGCTTCTACAATGTTATCTTCAGGAATCTAGCTCAGCAAATTTATAAAAAAAAAAGTTTTCTCTAAATTAAAACTAGTATGGATTATTATGGATTAGTACTATACAGATGTTCTGTTGTATTGGATAATTTTTTTTCCCCAGTTTGTTTTCTGATGTCTCAAAATACTGTTATCACCACTACTTTTAACTGTGTGAATGCTCCTGTGTTGAATATTTGTAGCAAAAAAACCTGTAAATTTTAATTTGCTGTTGTTGGGAGAGGAATTGATAAGGGCATTGGTAGAAGTCATACATGGAGATTTGACACCCAGAACACGAGGATATTGGGACATCAAGGAAGGGTATCAAAGGGATAACAGGGGAACGAGTTGGGTGATGATGGAATCATGCAAATACTTTATACTAAAAAAAAAATATAGGCCTTGTTGCAGATCAAACTTGGGTGGCCAACTCAGACATGCATGAATGCAAAAAGACATTGATGCAGACATGCATGCAGGGAAGCCTAGCATCAGACATAGCATTTAGCCTGGGTATATGGACGAGTGAGCTCAGGGAGACAGGTGAAAATACTCAAAATGATGAAATGATTGTCTTGATGCATGCAGGCATGAATGCAAATAATGAATGGATGCAAAGGGGATAGATACAAGAATCTTAACATATGGATCTCAATATATATTTAACTGTAATAATTGTTTTCTTTCAATTTGCCTACAAAAAACAGAAGTACACATCACTAACACCACAATAATTATAAGCACCGTGATTGTAAAATAAGATTGTTATAGTTGTTTAAACATTTACACATGAGGAAGAGGGACAGCGGCTAACAATAGAGGGTCTGAAAATGTCCAGTGGAGGCTAGCGAAATTAATAGGCCTTGTTCAAAATACAGAGGAAAATTTCACTGTTTATTCAGTTCTGAGACATTTCAGAAAATATTATTCTCAATGAAACTTGAAGGGGGAAGAAACGGTTATTTTTTCAAAGAGTTATGGCCAACAGGGGGCTTGGATGTTTGATAGGGGTCTTTATCTCCTTGCCTTCTGGTACTACCACTGTTACTATTATAAAACACAAGATCATTAAATAATGTCACATGACAGATGTAATGGCCAATAGGGAAGCAGACCATTCACCACATGAAGACAAAGAAGTGCATTGAATATTTTACTTTACTACTCACTAAAAAAATGAAATTCTATGCAATTTTTATTAAAGTTACAAACTTATTTTTGCATATTTCAAGTTCAGGGTTTTGAATAAATTTTTTAAAAATAAATTAACATTCTGTATTGCATTAAAGAGGTATATGCAATATACTTTAAAAAATACATTTTTCCCCTTGATTGAATTCTATTCTGGGAATTAAGGCTAATGGAATTTGATTCTACACTTCAGAGGGCAGTAGACACATATTTTCCTTGCTCTTTCAATCTGATTGCATTATTTTAATGTTAAGATAAATATAATTTTCATTTAAAATACTTTCAATCTGATTGCATTATTTTAATGTTAAGATAAATATAATTTTCATTTAAAATACTTCTGAAATCATTGACAACAAATGCAAATACCACATTTCATTATTCAATATTTCTATATTTATCATTTAAAATAACAATGTTTGTACTCTAATAATTAACAATCAATAAAAAAGATTTAATTTATTAAAAGTAAATTAAATTATGATTGACTTATTTAGTTTTATTCTGCACATTGTCTTTGATTTTGATCTTGTTATAGTTACACCATGGTTAGACTAAAATCTTTCTTGTGGAAAATTCAAATATTAAAGCGAAGTTGATATTTTATGGTAGCATGTATATATATATATATATATATATATATAAAATAAATACCAATTATAACAACCAATAAAATCTTTAAGCTCCATAATTTCAGAAACGATAATTAAATAATGCCACTGTTTATCAATAATACATACATTTTGATCCAAAATTGAGGAAAAGGTATATAAATAACAACATTATTTACATTTTATTCTCTTCATTACAAATACTTACACATGTAGAATAGCTTTCTCAAAGGTATCAAAATCAAGAACACAATTTATATGCATTTCGTATGGCGGTATTTATTAAACTTTCTGAATAAGTAATAGCGTGCAGACAACGTAAACTCCGGCGCTCATGTGTATAATTATGCTACGTATATTTAGCCCAGTAACCTTCACGTTTATGAGGTTAATTTTGCCCGATGCGCTGTCTGATGCCTACGCAGTTCAAGGTAATCAGTATCAACCAAGATTGCCTTTATATATTTGTTGGCCTTGCGCTAAGGGGTAGGAACAACTGCGCTATAATCTGTGTTTCTGGAAATGTGAATTATTCAAAAAGGGGACGCTGAATTTTACTTGTCACATTCCAAAAAACATATCTGTGTAGATTAATAATATGCAGATTAATATAATTAGACTTGTTAAATCTTATCATAATATTCAATCAATATGTAAATAATACAAAATTTGGGAAGGCAGTTTGGCTCAGCGGTTTTCATTCTAGTTATTTAACTTATAGTCAGGAGTTCAAACCACGCGCTGACTATAGCTTGCGGGCCATGCTTAGATACCCTTACTTGCATTGTTGATAGACATTGAAGTAGCTATGTTTTTCTGACAATTCATGCCATATAAATATAGTATAGTTACATATTATAGTGTTTTTTGCTGCAAAGCAGGAGAAAAATATTTTTTTAACACCATGGCTAACCCCGATTAAAGGAACCCCTATAACGTGAAATTGTTTAGCCCCTCTAATGGTTCTAGTGTAATGATACTGACAATGTTCTTGTAGGGTTTCCTGGGTAATAAACAATATCAGGGAGGTTATCAATCTTACGAAAATGATGACAAATATGGTAAACACATTAAGTAACTTAAGACTCAGAAATTTTCCCTTCAGGCAAGCATCGGATGCCACTGTAGGCTGCCACAAGAAATTGCCAGACTACATGACCCGCCAAAATACACAGCCAACACAACTGCATACTATTATGCTGTGGTCTGGGGCAAGACCAGCCAGCTAGTAGTTTACAGCTTATAGCTGGTGGTGTCCAGTTTCAATACGGGCCTCTTAACAATATATAACATCCAAATTACTGTGAAACAAATTTTACTAAACTTTAAGAGTAAATGGTATAGACCACATGCATTCAACTAAAAATTTCCAGAAGTATTGTTGACATGTCAACAAATCAATCTTGGAAATTTTTGAACACACACAGAGAACTAAATTTATAATGATTCTAATCCATGAACATGATTTTTATATGAACATGAACCAGTAAGTCTGGGACTGTATGGTGTTTACCAACAGCAGAGAACAGCTCTTTCGTCACATTAGTTTCAATAATTCTCTTGCATAAGCTACTTAGCCAAATCCCTTTTAATACCTCTTGATCATATTTTTATGGTCACCTTAGACATACCTACAAGGCTTACAAAAGGCTAGATAATTTGTGGGTACACGTTTTGACGTGTTAAAGTTTTAAGCCTGAGGTCTTGAGTTTTAAAAGTATTTGATATAATGGTCAGTGTATAACTCATTAAAGTCAAATCTATATTCCCTCTGAAATAATGATGAATTATCGATTAAGAATTAAGCTTAAAGGAGGTAACAAAAATTGTTATTAACCCACAATGGCAGCAAATCTGACCAACAATATAATAATTTAAACTTAAAGCTCTATAGGTGAACAGAAGGTTAATGTACATAAGTGTTAATATTCGTTTGTAGTTTTATATTATGTCTAAAACAATCTGATGTTCACTAATTCTTATATAATCTTTTTTTCTCTACTAATGTATAATAATTTGTTTACGCCTGGCACAGGTGCGATGCTAGCGTGTGGACCAGCTGGACAACGGTTCCCTAGAGATCTGGTCCAGCTACTAGGGAAGTCTTGGTAAAGTCAGGGTGAATTTATTAGAATCGTTTATAAGCCAGAATCAGTTGGTCAGAGTTCCAATGTCGCGAGCATCCAGAAGTGTTCAAAACATAGAACAGTTTAGCTCAGCTTCAACCGTGCTTAGGCTGAGGTGAGTGGGGCCCAACTGTCTGGGAATTATGGACCACCTGTCCGGCAAATGCAGATGCCACCGCTGGCCTGACAAAGGCAAAATCATAGCAAAATTGATAATACAGTACAGCATTTTTTTAGGTAGGTTAGAATAATATATCAGGAGACTTTCACAGAATTCACACATACACATAAAAAAACCTAAATGTAAAAAAATAAATGTGTATATTTAAATAGGGTGTATCCTAGGTTTGTTTGTGCTTTAGCTCAAATTAAAAGTATAGAATGACCATAGAATAATCATGTTCAGGTACTTCAACTGGTGTTTATATGGTGAATTCTGTAAATAAAACATCATAATCAACGTTCAGCAGTACGCCTTGGAGCATGTTTGCTTAGAATAAACCTACCTGCATTGCACTGTGAACATCAGTGGCACAATCTTCGCCACCTGAACGTGAGATCTTGGCCAGTCCAATGTATGGCATTTGGCAAGTAAATTTGAACCTAAGCCCTTTTAAAATGTTGCATATGCAAGTTCAATAATGATATTTTTTTTCCTATATTTATTATGATGTGTAAAAATGTGATTTTGTTAAACATCTAGTAGACATGAAATCTGGTGTGATCTAAAGTTATTTTCTCCTTGTTCTTTCCATTTCAAATTGACTGCTATTATTAAATTTAAAAAAACCAATTGTGTTTGTTCTTGGTTGCTGTGGAGAAAATAAAACAAATTATTTTTTCTGACCTGTTAATGCCATGGAATGACCACTTCCACCAGCCACCATTATAACGTTATCATGGCATGTCAGCTTGCGCATTGGAAGATGGACATCTTGACGTCGCATTCCGCATGCTCTTCCGTTACCCCAAACATAAAGTTCGCCTGACCCTACAAATGAGAATTATATATGTTCATTTTAATAACCAAGTGATCAAATTAATGTTTGGCGCCAATTTAATTAAAAATTTGAATATAAATTACTAATTGATTAAATTCATTTATCAGTAATTGATTGATAATGATGGATTTATTATTTCAATGTGTGTTTGCGTCAGGAAAATATCATAGGAATGATATTTTGCCCTACCTGACGTGTTGTCGTACTGCGTTCTTAAATACAGATACTGCAATACTATTTCATGAAAAACATCACTCATATTTTTCTGATGCAAAACACACATCGAAATAGCATTGAATTACCTGCTACTTGGGGGGGGGGAGGCGGAGGGAGGGAGAAAATTTGAGTTTAAGAGGGAAAAGGGAGTACACCCATGAGTTCAGTGGCAATCCAGCAGTGGGTGAAAGGAGAGCTTGATTGTTTTTACCACTCATTTACAGCAACCATGGTGGGGCAGAGGTGGGCGTGGCGGCGTGAACGTCATATTGTGCCACCCTGTCAGAAACTCTCTGCTTGGGCATCAGATTCAACATTAGTCACATAGCACAAGCTCAGTGGTCTAATGGTTATGACACCAGGCTAGTTTCATGAAGGTCGTGGGTTTGATTCCCACCCAAAAATCACTTGCAAATTTTTTTCACAGTATTTGGGAATGTATTGACACATGAGTTAGGGCGACACATCACTCTGATGGATTTATTGTTAGACAGATTCATTTGAAATCAATTTAAAGCTTTCCATTGCATGATAATGGCAAGATCCGGGGCATAATGAGGTCATGTAACGTTTTCTGCATCTTTAATGTAAAGCTACGATGACACTCAGTACTCATTATCCAAAATCAAAATGCAGTTTGGGCCCAGTCCAGGGAGGAATCCAGAATTTTTTTAAACTGTTGGGCACAACATTTTCAGAATAGATAAGTGAGTAGTACATAATATTAATAATGATATGCACTAAAATTTTAAAATTTAGTGGCAAAATAGGGGGCACGTGCCTTCCTACTGAATCTGTGCCTGCATTGTGCAGAGAATGTGAGATTGTTACCGAATACATCCTATAGTTTTGTTCAGTAAACAAAAGCTTCCTACTTTTTCGCTTGTAACACACCTGTTGCCGCAATGCTGTGTCCAGCTCCGCATGCTATGTGATGGACGTCTTCAATATTTTCATTAATTTTTGGGGACAGGATTTCCTCCATGTCTGCTGTTCCAAGTTGACCATAACTGTTCTGTCTAAATAATAAAAAGATAATAACGCGTTATTATTATTTATATTTTTATTAAATAGACTAACTATATTTTAATGATTACGATTATTCAATGCAGAAATAAAACATTACAGTTCTTTTACATCTGAAGTTGCCCAGACTTTAACAACAGAGAAAATTTGTAAATGAACAGTAAAGAATAAGTTCACATCAGAAAAAAAACCCCGAAGATTATGAACCAAGAAAAAAGAGAGCATGCTATCTCAATGTCGACATCATCCAAGATTGCAGGAGAGGGACTCCGAAAACGACCAGTCGCAAGAACATTACACAATGACTAAGAGTGCACAAAAATGCTGGGTAGATGTAATGGTCAATCTATAAATATATACAGGCTAATTTAGAATGCTGGTAAGGTACCAGAGAAACACTGTTGCACTTTTTTTTTTTGAACCAGTAAAGAATCATTAAATATTGCCCAGATTCTTTTTGAACCAGTAAAGAATCAGTAAAATATATACAGATTCAGTGTTCTTATTTTTTGCCAATTTTAGGCTTAAAATGTTCTTATTTTGTTCTTAGTTTTACACACTCAAACAGAGAACACTATTTTTGTTTGGTAATAGAGGGTATTACCATGGAGGAATTAGCTAATTCGTCCATGGTATTACATAGTCACACCTACTGCCCATAAGGTACTGATAAGACTTCTTGGGTTTTCTATTTTTTGTTTAAATAAAAACCTCATTTTTCAGCCTCAATTTGTTCTTATAAGGTGAGTCGAATGGCCAAGCGGTTAGCAGGGGTTCCACAAGCTATAGCCATAATATCGGTGCTGGTTCAAACGGCATGCTCGTCTATGGTTCTGGTGATAGAACAAGTCTTCTCGGATAAGGATTATAAACCGTAGGCCCAATGTATACAATGGCTCGTGTGCAATATAAAGAACCCAGTACATCCTTCGAGACATGTAGGGGGATACCCCGGTGTACTGGAACAAACAGCCTCTGTGGTGGACGACTAGAGTTGCTGGTACCGGGTTACCGGGTAGCACAGATATGAAGGGACCCTTAGGGGCGAAGAAAGTCATTGATCAAGTTCCTAGTCCACATATCAAGCGCCCTGAGCATCTTACATTAGATGGATATGTGCGCTATATAAAACTACACTATTATTATTATTATTTTGTTCTTCATTTTTAAGATTTTCAGCCACAGTGTATTTATAAAATGTGTCCTTATAAAAAAAAAGTGTCATTAAACAATAATTCCTTTTTACCATAGATTTTTCATAATCATTGTACCATAGATCATAGTCATATCATTCATTATTGTGATAATCATAAACATCTATCACCAACATCATTATCGTCATCAAAAACAACATAAACAAAATTGTATGATACTTTGCTACACAAAATTCACATCTCATGCATACGGCACCTGCCTATGCTCTCAATAGTATGTTATAAAATACCTGAATGTACTGATTAAGAAATTACACCCACTTGCGACCTTTTAATAAAATATTTGACTTTCATAATGTGGTTTATTCGGGCCATAACCTGGTAGGCTTATCCAAATCAGTGTCTCCTCTAGGGCTTTAGATCATTATTCCACATGAATCGATGAAATTCACTAAAACTAGGACACACGAGTTCATGGCTTAATTCTTTGGCACATTGGGTATACAAACCTAGCAACCTTCTCACATAAGTAAATATAATTTTGTTTGTAGGAGATATATATAAATCAAAATTCTGAAATAGGGCTGTTCTGTGAACTGGGACGAAGCATCACCTAACAGACTGTCTGAAAACATAAAAATCTGAGACTGTATTTCGATAGCATTAACAATAACCAGTTTTAATTTATCGGGTTTCACTTACACATACACTGGGAAATTATTAGGTTTGATGGATAATAGACGAATGTCATGGCAACACATGACTGAATGCAATTCTTTAATCTGATTCGCATTAAATGTCTATTTAAATACAATATATTGCTGGTTGCTTTAATGATTGAGGGCTATAATCTCCATTTAGGATCATCCACTCCTAAAAAGGTTCCCCTCCTGTAGGAGTGATTGATAGGGATTAATATGTCCATTTTTAAATTACTGTTGTAATTCAGTTAATTTACAGAAGCAGGAGGAACGTCTCCTGTCCTGATTTTTGACTATCATTACAGAATAGGTATAGGTAATACACCTACAGTAATACAGTAGCAATCTCAGCTATGTACAGCATGATCAGAGAGTCACACTCCCAGGTGACTCACTCTTAAATACTTCTATACGAGTAGGTGCCGCATTTACGGGGGTATTTTTGAGGACTTGGTAGCACAAGTGTGGGAATTTATGGAAGAGTTTCAGCATGTATAGGTTATATTTGCGATGACTTGGTAGCACAATTGTGGGCAATACCTAGGTAAAATTAGTAGTTAAAGTACCTGCTCTTATTATCAAAGTAGCATAATTTTTCACATGATTTTAGCAAAGATTTTTTGCTGACCTCTGTGTTAAACCTACCGTTGATACATAGCCAAGAACAGTAAGAATAGCAAACAGACAGACCGCGGTGTTATTTGCTATCGGGAACCAGTACAAATTTAATTTGGTAGGTTTCGGTAAATGGTAGTCCTTAATAATTTTCAGTTAAATAGGTAGCGCAAGTGTCTCATGTCTTGGAGTGCCCCCCCCAGGTAAGTGGAGGGGGGTGGGGCCAGACAATCATGTTTTTTTGCAGTTAATCACTTGTCTAACTGATCTAGATGAAATACTGTAAATGAATTTCATAATTGGGATACAGCACAGAAAGAATGTTCCCAATAGCGGTAGGAGAGGTTTGACGCAGTGGTTGTAGTTCTGCTGCTCAGCCTTAAGATGGGAAGTTTAATCCCTCACATCCAGGAGTGCAAGTGGGTATCTGTTAAGTTCAAACCCAAAATGCACTGATTACAGCTGCAAATATAAATGGAATTCTCCCTGGGGTGTTAGTATTGTGTTCCACATGTGCTTGATCCAATGACATGGGGTAATAATGTGAAGCGCTTAGCATGCTGTGGGTGGGGGTTTGCGAATCTTCCTAGCCAGTACCCATTTACTATGGGTAAAGGAAGAGAAAATCATAAAGCACATTGTCCAAAGCTACAAGTGAAATGCAAAAGTGAGGGACTTGAACCACCGACCTCAAAAGATAAGAATCAGAGGCACCACTGCTAAAACAACTGCTCCCATTAATTCAGTAAGTTCACAAATTTTCAGTTGTGTTAATCGTTAACTACAGTAACTTCAAGCATGTATCGGCATGACCACATCAACAGGTAGACAATGGTCCAGTTTCCGTAACTGTACTCTGAACTACTCTGTATAACACAGCGGCTGCTCACCAGTAAAAGCAAGGCAATTCAACAGAAGGACGCACATCTCGGGACATCAAAGTTTATAACTCTGGCATCGACATTCTAGGCGCATGTGCGTCCCTACACGCTGAACGTCACAAAAACCATAGCAACCAGGCCATAAACCGTCAGCGTACGTGACGATTTACTCATGCGCGTGTTAGTTGCCGTGATAATCGCGCGTCATGCGGTGATTACAAAGGCCTAATGATATTTTGCTAACTAACATTAGACTGAAATTATATTCTTCATTTCAACATTAATTTTACCAAAATTGTCGTGAATTGTCGTTCATGAGACTCACTTCGCAAAAAAAATTAATAAATGTTCTGTATATACTCAAATGTCCGTTTTCGGCACCTTATGCCAACATTGTCAAAATAACAGATTAATGTTACATAAGAACATGAAATTTTATAAAATTCGTAAATTTTAAATTGCCATAACTTTTCATTTTCTCGATCAATTTTCACAAATCAAATTGTAGTTTATAGAAGCATTTAACAAGCTCGCAGTAAAAAAAAAAATCAGATGTAACAGGCATTGCGAAGTACGCAAAATTAATAAAATAAAAACTAACACCATGAAAGGAATGGCACGCATAGACTAATAATTGACGGCTGTACTCGCAACTAGTATCGGATTGTCGATGCCACAGTAAAGATCAAAGGACTGTACGCACGCGCTATGTTCGAGAGCGGAGATGTGCGTCCTTCTGTTGAATGACCTTGGTAAAAGTCACCCAATAATGGCGAAAGTTGGCATAAAAAATGGAAATTCAGGGCCAAAGTGATTTTTCTATTTAAAACCGAGGGTCGCATGCAAACTTAAGACTGTTTTATGGTAACAATTTGATGTTTCTAGTTTGCTTGTAAAAACCTTCATGCATTACTCTTATACTGCTTTATGCTCAGTTTTAATATTACTTTTATATGATTGGTGTGGGCATGAACATGGGCTGGGGGAGGTGTGTGAATACACCTCCCCCCCCATCCCACCATTGAAGCAAATTAGTTCCACTAGTGGGTTAAAATACTAAAAATGACCATCAATTTTTCATTGGAACAGGGAGTTAGTTATGCATTCTCGTTTTCACACCCCTCTTCCTATGGTCGAAACCAGCCAACTTCCCTGGTGTTGGACAGCAGCTGGGGATGTTTTAGGGAAAGTTGATAGGTGGGCCACACTTAATATTTTCCATTTTTGTGGGCTGCAACAAAACTGCAGTTGGGCAGCTGCACCTACCTGTACTATAAAGCATAAGGATGTTATGTAAAAAAAAAAAAACTCAATAAAAAAGTGAAGATCTCTACTACTGGGTAAAAACAAAATCATGACTGAATGTTTTTAATTTTTTGCTAATATTATGATATGTAAGCATTCAATTTTTTCCAGCAACAGTTTACTAACTGAAAAAATCAAATCTTTTTTGACTGTAGGTTATTTTTGACACTCTAAAAAAGTGCATTTCAAATGGGTCAAACTAGAAATGTGTGAGATTATCTATGTTTTAAAATGCCTCATAGCCATTTATAACACATGGCTTGCATGGATGTTTACACTTCATGATTGGTCAGATGAATGCTTGACTCTAGCTAGATATCAAGCAAATACAGGGAAATGTCACTTTAAATTCAATATAATTGATGACATCGTGCCGCATGCCAAACTCTCCCTTGGATCTATTCTCATTCATCACATCAACACAATACATATTTTCTTAATGTCTCTTACGAAATGACATGTAAAAACAAATCATGAAATGGCTCAAAGTAAAAGACACAAATAAAAAGCAATGCATTATGAAAATATGATAGTAACAATAACTGAAGACGTTAATCAAACACATATAGTACTGACAATTCCAGAAATATTTTTAGAAATGTTACTAAAACAACCTTTACATCAACAAATAAAAAATAGATATTAATAATGAAAGTTCTATAAAAAAAATATAAAAACAGCATTCATGAAGAATAAGAAAATACAAGATGTATATTTTTCATGAATTTTTCTCACTGATGAATGTTTTTGTTTTCTTAGCAATTACTTATCAAAGCGATAAAATCGATCCATCATTGTCATTTATAACGTGCCAAGTCTCCACATAACATTATGTTCACTGGCATTTAGATAATGCTCTTGAGAAATACAAATATAATGGGGAAAAAAATGAAACTTAAACAATAAAATTTAGTATTTGAATTGCTTATTTTTTATTTTTTTTTACACTGAAATCACTCCAGAACAAGGTCCGAAAGTCACTTCTAGGTAAGGGGACTTAACTATTATATATGCCATGAAATGCTTGCACCTAGGGCTATAAACATAGCTTGAGTAACTTTACAGTAGCCCGTCAACAACGTCAGTTGGTGTATATCTAAGCTAAAAAACAATGTATTATGAAAATATGACAGCAACAATAACAGAAGTTAAACAAATACCGACAAACGACAATACAAGAAATATTTATGGAAACGTATACTAAAAAGCCACTTCTATGTAAGATCTTATAACTATTACATTTACTGTATATGCCATGAAATGCTTGCACCTAGGGTATCTAAGCATGGCCGCCGAGAATGGTCAGCGTGTGGTTTGACCTCTGACCACAAGTTCAATAACCGGAATGGAAACCGTGAAGCCAAACTGCCTTACCCATGTACAATGTATAAGTAAGATATAATTCCTTACTTATATATTGCACATGGGCACAATGTATAAGTAAGTACTAATTCCCACTTTGAAAAGCTGAGCAGGTAGTGCATGAATGCCACAACCTACAGTAAAGCCATAATATGTGATGACAATGAAAATAATACCAATAAAAAGCGCTATATAAATGCTAAAATATTATTATTATTATTATTATATTATTATTATAACGGGTAGAAATCCCTTCAGAGAGTACCACATCTATTTCGTCAACAAAGTTTCTAGGAACAAACAATTCATAACTCGATCTTACCCACAAACCGCTAACTGCCCAGTTGCAAACAAGAATAACGTGTGCTTTTCACCACATGCCACTGATTTCACAACGTGATGAGCCAGCGGTAGAAGCAGATGAGGAAGAACCTGATGAAGAAAAAAATTCAAAAACTTGTTTATTAAAAAGCAAATATCATCACCATCATCAACATGTCATTTTATGATTGGTTTATTTGCATAACGTTTGTTAATTTATGAAGGAAGCAGGTTTTCGTGCAGGCATTATCCACTTTTTTTTCAGGAAGACTACAGACAAATCACACCCTTTGCACCTACTGTAGTACCATAAAAACTAATGAAATTCACCATTTACAAATAGACTAGAATGCTTCAGTTCCAACAAAACAGGCTCCCTAATATCTAGTATTAGTTGACACTGCTAAACTGACAATGAAGAAGATAATATAAACGTGTCCAAGGCACGCCAATTTATACCAGTTCACACAAAAGTTGCAAATGAACAAATTATGTGTTGGCTGTGGTATATCATCCAACTGTAGACATAATTAGTGTAATTTATGAAAAATTGCCAAATAAATATCATACCTCAAAATGAAAGTTCATTTTCATTATCAAAGGTACAGTATTGTTCGTATTGTATTGTATCATATTTTCATCAACATCTCCTTTATCATTATATATAACATCTAGCACACTAACATCAGCAATAATAATGATGTTAGGAGAACAATGTTAGTTTCATCAATATCTTTCTTCTCATCATTATCAGTAACATCTACCACACTATCTTCATTACTGATAATGATGAATAGAAGAATGATGTTGGAGTGAGTGATGAGTGGAGAAACTCAAAGGTGTGTGCATTTTTGGAAAATGAAATTGATGCTATTCTGTCATGTTTGGTGCATATTATAGAGTAATATTATAGGCTCTGATTCTGGGTCTGGTGGTAAATTCCAATCCAAATGTTCGCACACACCAGCTAACAGTTAGCAGAATCCAGAAAAATATCATACCCGCTCACCCTTGCGTTCATACAAGAAAATCCCTGATCCAGATATCACTGGCCAATAGGAAACTGGAAATTGGAAATTCGTACATTTGATTGGTTAATGATAGGCATGGGCTCAACTTGTTAACCGTTCAGACTTTCTCACACGAGTGCTAATGGTCAGTACTAACAGTTAGCTCCCCATCCAGGTACTAGTGTAAACCTAACTGAAGATGCAGAGTCAGTTTGAGCAAGCTTAGTGGCTGTCACATGTAATATTATGTCACATGGTCAGTGATATTGCAAGATATGTGGCTTTATTCATGTGATATAATATTACATGATGTAATATGTCACATGATTAAAGCTTACATACCTTGCGACATCACTGTATCGATCTAGAATGAACATGTCATAAACTTCAACACGACTTAACTTGTGCACTAAAATATTACTAAGGAGTGATGTGAACTCATCAACTATGTGTTAGTGATGAAATGCCTTAAGAATGAAGGGTCTCTTACTGATCAAATACATCTTTATCATCCCAAGAGCTTGAGGGTGACATGGCCCAAAAAACAAGGTCAAAGTCATGCAATTTAGATTCAAGTATATCAATTTAAATGTGGAAGGTAGAGACTGTTGTACAGCCATGTCAAAGATAGTCTCTATCTTCTCCTGCCATTACAAAGGTATCTGGGCAGAGAAAATTAAAATATAATTAGCTATATTAGCTATAGAATAATAAATTCAATTGTAAGGTAAAGAGTTCGATTCCAGGGCTGAATGCTTCTTTGCATCCTTAGGCAAGCCATTTTTATTTTCTTATCAGTAATTAAATGCAACATTACGGAATATTTCCCAGGAAACTGCATAGGTGTTTGATTCAATGATATAATATAAAGCAGTGCAAAAAGCATTTATGTACCATACAGTGGCGGATCCAGGAATATGAAATAGAGGGACCCAGGAGAGGACTCTCCTGGGAGGGTCTACTCCATATATGCCAAAAAAAAATAATGAACAGAAATATTTTGGTCCAGAATAGATGATGATGGCCATATATATATAATCAATAATGCATTTATTGCATGCCTTTATGAGTTAAAGAGGATGATTATGGTTGAGAGTTTCATTTTATTAGTAAAATATAGATAACTTCGGATATACTTCCGACTGACTACTTTGCATTATGGTTGCCTGAAGTTATTACTGCCTGTTGTTTAATGTCATTGTCGTTTATAAATTATAATTTTAATAATTTTAATTTTGTTCTGTATCAAGAGTACTGACTTGTTGCTTTCTAACAGTCTGCCATGTTTTTTGATCAAGAGGTTAACCTGGGTTGAACATGGAACCCTCTTTTTCAAGGCTGTGTACCTTAAAAACAAAACCTCTTTTGGCTTCCGAAAGGTCACTGATTAATCTCAGATAAGATAGTATAATACACACTCCAAGTATCGAAATGCACGCTTTTGGCTTCTGTTATTGCCAATATCAAACATATTATTTTTGTACATTTAAGATTAAGTATTGTAATTATCATATTCTTTGTCATCATAAATGTCATAATCACCACTGTCAGTTGCATTCTGTCATCTTCTCCGTCATCTTCCAAATAAAAGTGAATTTTAAACAGCATTTCTTCCATTATAAAGATATAAATATTTAGAGTATAGAGCCTCACCTTATTGGGGCTGAGGTAAGAAAAGTTATGATTATGACACCTCTAGATACCGGAAATGGAATCCGCAGACTTTTTTTTTTTTTATTTAGGGGAGAGGGGTGGGCTGGTTGGCTCCCCCTTGATTAATAGATGCATACGGCTAACACCTGTCTCTTATACACATCTAGATGTGTATAAGAGACAGATATATATATATATATATATTGGGAGAAAATTTGGTAGGTATGATTACAAAAAGGAAACTGATGACTACTATAAGACATAGACAGAATCAGTAACAAATGACTAGCTGTACTGTCGCATGATTATGAATGTTTCCACGGTGTTGCGCAAATAGCATTATATTAAATTTAGGTTAATTACTAAGCGGCTACAGGATCTACAGGGAAATTTTTAAAATAGAATTAAGGACAGGTGTAGCATTAGGTGAAATTGAAACAGGTTAACTACTCTGCAAATTGATTAAATTGTTACTCGTACTTTAAGTTGGACAATTAAATGAATATGATACCTAACAGAAGCAAAATTTACAATTAAAATATCATGTATACAAACATAAATCTTACATAGAAGATTTTTATCATGTAAAACCCAATTGCGAAAACACCTGTGCATGCTATAAACATGAAAACTACAGTCGCACACCAATGCCAATCGAATCTATTCAACTTATTGTTTGAATAGAATCAGCAGTAATGAACGTCCGCTTCTTCCGTGGATATTTGTGTTTTACAAATCCTTTGTCAAAGTGCAGGAACAGTGATCTGAATGTCGTTGCTTTGAATCCCATTTTTTTTTGCTCTACTTTCGTTAATAATTAAGACTGATTTTAAAAGTCGATCAGTCTGTGAGATTATCACCCAATATACAGGTTAATTCACCCCCAAATAGAACCCACTCTAACAACTAAGTTTTCAGACTTCCTTGGATTATCCTTCCTCTATTTCACACCAAAGAAATCAATTCAATCGAAGCAATCATTTAAGGATGCATGCCCTTAATGATGTCGCTAATGGTTCTCTGTCCTTTACCTTCATCTTGACTTGGTGAAACTAGTCTTGATCGCATTTCCTTCCGATTTATGTTCTTAATAATAGTCTATAATTCTATAAAGATCAGTGGTGGATCCAGAAATTTGAAATAGAGAGGCTCCGGGAGGTACTTTCACAGATAGAGGGGTCACCCACCATGGATGAGGCTGAGGAAAGAAAACTTATGATTATGGCACCTCTAGATGGTAAAAAAATTACACTCTCAGACTTAAATATTATTTTTTTTGCCAAAACTTTGAAAAATTAAGAGGGGGAGGGGGCTGAGCTGGTTCAGCCACCCCTACCCCTCTACCTTGAATCTACTGAATACTGTATGTATCTATTTTTTTAAATAAGAATTCATGAATTGCAATGCGAACCTAGTTTAGATTCATTGGAAATGAAAAATTAAAGATGGGCAAAATTAAGTTTGTTAATCGCAAATCAAAGTGACTTCGGATTGAAAGGATGAAAACATGTGCTTGGTATGAATTAGGATGAATAGTGCACGGTAAAATAGTGTTAGGTTTTGACTGTAAAAAATGTGGGCATTGAGGGCAGATCTGGTCTGCCTAAGAGGAACGTGTATTGGTATTTAATTTCATTTGAAAAATGCCACCTAAGTTTTTCTAACAAAGGTTTGCGACATTGTAGCAAATTTTTAACATTGGCTACAGTATGTGCATTATTAGTACCATACTTCGCAGAAATGTTCAATTTTAATTTTTTACATAAATACAGTAGGATGTTGGGAATCATAAATTCCATTAATACCATATTGCCTGGCAGGCAATCCATATTCATTTCACCCAGGTAACATATGACTGGTCCATATAATTTGTGAAGTGCTTTGATGTTCATGGAAGCACTATACAAGAGCCAATGTTAAATGTAAAGTACTGTAATAACCCTTCAGCCCCCGCACTGTAACCAAGGCTTAAAGTACAATTAATAACAAACAAGATGGTGATTAATTCGTTATTGATGAGCAATTTCTTTTCATCATGCCCCAGGCTAAGGTAAAGCAAACTGAATTTTACTAAAAATATGGAAGTATATGTTCATTATAATTTTATTGCGTTCAGTTTCAAAGATGTTATTACAGCTAAAAGCCATTTTTCATCTACCTAGGAGGAATCATAATATGCAAGTTAATTGATATTGGTCTGGGTAAAGTTGCCTTTAAGAGACATTGACCCCTGGATCAATAACAATAATGTCAAGCTTGTCTGTTTCTTTCTTCGCATTCATTGTCTACACTCTATTAAAACTGTTATCTTAAAGAAGGTACCTAAATATGACCAGTCAAATTGAATTCAGGAGCTAAATATAATAAAGATATTAATCTTTATACCTTGCCAAAAGCCTTCTGAAGTTCGTGGAGAAAGATGACACAGCATATCAATCGTGAAAACTT